TATAGACCAGGAATTCCTCCTCTTCTAATCTATATGTTAATGATGCACAAGTGGACCAGGATGGCAATAATTCAGCAGATTATGAAACTCAATAAAACTACTGCTGTGTTTTATAGAAAACAGCATGTTGAGGTAGACTGTTATGAATTAATGTATAACGTCAGATCTGCTATAAAACGCTGAAGTGGGAATGGACTCTGTGTTGCTGCTGCTTCTCTCAGGTCTAATCACATCTGATGTGGCGCCATGTTTGGCCGCCCTTCCCCCAGACTCCAGCAGCATCCAACACACGTTGCAAATATGATTATCTACAAACCTGTGCATGAAATATAAACCCATTCAGTCCCACTGCAGGACAATGGGCCTGTTCTGATCCAGAAGAACATGGTTAGCATGTTTAGGGATGACATCATCACCTCCGTTTCTAAACAAACGTTTGTTTTCACACAGAAAAGATTTCAAACACGTGTAGTCTGAAAAACTCTTTCACTGATTTATCTTAAAATGTAACCTTCCTTGAACAGGTTAGGGTAGATCTATACAAAATATTTAAATACATTTTTGCATAGAATCATTTTTAGATAAGGAGGTTGTAGACTCTACCATTCTGACCGTTCTGAGCTGTTTCAGGGCGTAATGTCACTTTAAATCCAAAGAAGCTGCTGCTGGTCACCACCCCAAACTCAACGTTTACGCACACACATAAAAATAACTTCAAACAGACGCACTGAAATACAACTGTACATCTTTGAAAAGCAAAAGTGGAGCATCCTTCACAACAAACAGGAATGCAGCAAGTGGTTTCTGGATGGTAAGTCAACAACAATTTTTTTTTTTCCCTTTCCAGCAGCCATTGTACAGCGCAAGCAGTAGTAAAACCAGCTGACCAAATGTGCTGGAGCTAACAGGGAAGTGCCTGCTGATTTTTAATGTTACATTGAGAAGGTTTTTGAAACAGTTAAAAAAACATTCACTTATAGCCATAAAACAGTAAAATTTAATTGCTCAGTTTGTTTTTTAGAAGCAAGTAAAAACCAAATGGAAATTCAAGAGAATTTTGCATAATAAAAATCAAAATCAGGACAAAGCAGAGCTGCTGACTTTTCTCACTTCTTCACCCTCCTTCCCCTTCGTTTCACGCTGTTTTCACTCTTTATCCTGTAGCCCTTGGCCTTATATTACGTCAAACCTTTCTGTTTCTGTGTGTTTCAATCATTTTGGCGTGGAGATGGAAAACATGACAATACTGCCCCCTGTGGGAAATTATCTGTGCTGCAGGAACCTTTTTTTCGACCAGTCGACCAGTCGAAAGTACAAAGGATCCATAAATGTACTTTTGTCTTGTAAAAATGAAAAACAATTTTAATGTGAATTTTATTTCACTATTTATATGTCCAGATTTTGTTATAATATGATGAAACATAGATCAAAATAACAAATCACAGTTGGTGCAGAAATTGGTATGCTTTAATGAAAGAAAACTTTTTGGGTCAAATTATTTAAATTTTGCTGCCTGTAAAAATATTGTTGTATTTAGCCAAGTTTAATAAAATATCTGGAATTACAAATTGCTGTATTTGTTGCCCTTTTTGGTATGAGATTAAAAAAACACGGCTAATAAAAGAAAAAATAACATTTTCCATTTAACAAAATATGTACATTTATCACTGAAAATCTTATTTTAAACAGCTTTATTTGCTGGTCTTCTTGAATTTGTAGCATTCTATACTTAAAATTAGAATGGAATGGGATCGTTTCATTACTATTTTGGTAAAACATATCCAAAATATTAAAAATAAAGCGAGTTATTAAAGCTGAAACACCAAAACCCGATGCTGCTAAACATGCTATCGGCTAACCGAAGCGGACGGTTGTGCTAAAACGGTTTTCACTGTGTGTATTAATCCATAGCAAAGCTGCAGTATGTAGCTTTGATGAAGAATATGTTTTTCTTACACATTTGCTAAAACTGTCATCATCTTGTGACAGTTCGCTATGAGTTATTACCTTATGAGTTATTACCTTACAGGAAAACAGTTTAACCGCCGTCATCGGCGGCTATGCTAACTGGTGCTAGCACTGATTGCATGCTAGGCTAACTGCAATTTACCAGAGAGATTATGATTGATGGTGCTGAAACCCGCCTCCTGCCAATGATTATTAGTTTATAGTTTGCATTGGGAGAAAGAATACTACACTGGCATGATGTAGTGACAAATAAGTATTTTTAACAGAAGTTACATCCTGAAGCTTTAGGGCATATTTGGTGTTTGAACTATAAAATAGGGCATTAAAACCAGATTTAAGTTATTCGTAGGTGGTTTTAGTTGCTAACCACAACAAATACGAGAATCCACTGAGCTTTATGTTTGGGTGGTCATTGTGTTAGACGATAACGCCCAAGTTTGGTATCCTGTGTGTAACATTCATCACTCCTTGGCAGTTTTCCTCCTTTTGTGCTTTCTTAAAATATTTCTCCATGACATACATCAAAGCCACGAAGTCAAACAAAACTGAGAAGAAAAACTGTAAACATGGTAATGGTATATATGCGGTTTGAACTGTTGGCAAGACAGATGCCATCTAACCTCAAATTCCTCCAGTTGACAATGGCATAAAACACTGAGATGTAGGAACGAGTTTGTGGTTTTCAACATTGCAAAAACAGAAAATCTTCTTGAGTAATTTTTGTCTAATTTCTACAGCAAATATCTCAAAAGACTTAAAATAAGACAAAAACTAACTTACAGATTACCTTTAAACAAGATGCATGCGCTTGTTTTAAATCAATAATTTCTTAATTTTGATGAAAAAACACTAGTTACTTCTTCAGATTACTTAACTTCTAACAAGATATTTTCCCATGTTGTAAGATAAATAATCTGGCAATTGAACTAGTATGACTTTTTTTATCAATATCAAGAAATTATTGATTTAAAACAAGCTCATTTCTTGCTGAAAAGTTGCTTAAAACTTAGTTTTGTCTTAATTCAAGTGTCTTAAGATATTTGCATTAGAAACTAGACCAAAAATATTTGGTCAGATTTTATGTTTTTGAGTGAAGCGAATATCGTTCAGTCATTTCATAAACTTGAAGGGCTTCCAAACGGATGAATGCAATAAGCAGGACAGACGTCTGGCCGTTTCAGCAGTTTAGATTTTATCAGGCTTGATGTAATTTCCTGGTAAATGCGTCAGGAAATCATAGTATCCGATAAAGCAGGTCGGTCAGATGATAACAAGTCATGCAGCAGACTCAATTACAGGAATGCGTGTGTGGCCGACTACATGAAAGGATCATATTTACTGGCGAGGGAATCATCTATAGAGGTAGAAGATGAAGGGGAAAAAGGCTGAGGCATCAGTGAGTGATGGAGAGAGAGAGAAGCAGAACCTTATAAGTGACTGTTGCTGTTGGTGAGACTTCCAGACATTAGAAAGGCTTATTTTTATCTCTCAAGCTCTCACTTAAAGTTGCAGCATCAACTTTTATATATAAAAAATGTTTTTTAAGTATTTGTTAAAATTGCCACCATGTCGTGACAGACAATCTGTGAAGATTGATTTAGTCCACCTGCCATGTGAAGAACTGCACAACTCAAGACCAAAACCAACCAATCAAGAGGCAGGAGGAGGATATTAGCGCTGTCAATCACACTCATGTACTCGCTGTTAAACGTGGTAATGGGGGAGAAACAACTTACCATTCCAGAAAAGTCGTTTGTCAGCAGTTGTTGTTGGCTATGCTAACTAGCATTAGCATCTACGGCCGGCTACGCTAGCTCTGCTACTGTTGTTTTTGGCTTTCAACAGATATTTAATGCGGACAACATGTCTTTACATGTTCTAACAATCCCTACAAAAATACATTAAGAACTAAAGTAATAAAGTTATACTTTTTTAGTTGCATCATTTCCATCTTCTTCTGACCAGAGTCTTCAGTGTGACTCTGAGCGCGCCAACTAATGTTTCTCCATGGCAACAGCGCAACATGTGGAACAAAATCTAAGTTCCTCGTTACATTTTAATGTGTTTTTAACCAAATAAATAAACTTTAACCACATGAATCTACCAAAAATAGATAAACACAAAATCTTACAAAGTATTTTTTGGTCTAGTTTCTACTTTTGACTTAGAATAAGTCAAAAGTCCGCGACATATATGAGATTGTTTAAATATTGATGAAACAGTGCTAGCAAATTTTTTCACAGATGAAAACACATTTTTCTCATGCTATAGGTGAAATAATCGGCCACTGGATCTAATACTTTTTTGTCAAAATTAATGAATTATTTACTTAAAACAACTTCATATATCTTGTAAGTTAGTAAATTTGAAATAAAGAAAACAAAGATATTTACTCTAGAAACTTGACCAAAAATACCTACTAAGATTTTGTGGTTTTTTGCAGTGTATATATTAATGACTTAAATATGTCAGGATTATGGAGGTGATTGACAGCACTTAGACCCGCCTCCTGGCTCTGATTGATTGTTTCTAGATATTGCTGAGGGAAGGCAGAAGAGTTTGATTTTTTTCATGACAGTTTCAGCAAATATGTAAATTAAAAAAAATCATAAATGTTACAAACTGCAGTTTTAATGTTTTACCACACACAAACCCATTAATGCGCTCAAAATGAGACACCGGGACATTCACCCTTAGTTCCTCTGCATGTTCCACCAGGGAAAAAACATCCCTAAAAGATTTTTAATAAGTTTTTATCAGCCGAGGTCATCGTGCGTCATTCCAAAGAAAACTGCCTCAGGTTTCCAAATAAGGCCTTTGACTGAACAGATTTCTTGTTGGGTGAGGCGTCTCCAGTGGAGACTAAAACAGGATGGACCAACAAGTCCCCTCCTCCACTAAAAATACACACACACACAAAGCAGGAACACAAATCCAAACAATTTACACACATGTATGCCCAGTGTTTGCTTCAGATGTCTCTCTTAAACATGGGTTCACCACCGGAGAATAATCATTTCAGCTCCTCTTACCCATGGGTGGTCCCTCACAGTCCGACATGCTTGCAGATGAAGGATGAAGGGATTGTCTCTTTTCTTCTGCTTCTTTTTTTTCTTCCTTTAAGACTCAAAGAACTTCTGTTTAGTCTTGGTTGTCAGACTCTGTCTCTGCGCACTTTCTGCCAGATTATCCTCCTCCACTCTGACCCTCTACGAACAATCTGAGCAGTGGCCAGAACATACGTCAGTCAGCCGCTGCACTCTGCTCCATTGGACACTAAATTTGTAACCAGCAGCCCTCCCTTGGGGTTCTGTTTCCCTGAGATGTGACCGACCCCTGAGGATAAGATTTCACAGGCTGGCTTAGTCAAAACTCAACACAAAAACACACAAACTGCAGAAAAGCACGAGGCTTTGTTGAAAATTCTGAATTGTTTGGTTCGCTAACAGTTTATTTAATCTATTAGGATACTTTCACTGTGCAATTCCGATTTTTTACTGCAATATGATTTTTTTTTGTCTGCAGATTGATATTACTAATTAAACCCGATCGCAATGAGACATCTTTATGAGCAGTTTACAATTACAAAGTAAAAAAATCAACAGCTGCATTTATGTTTGTTTAGCCTGTCATTGGTAAAAAAAAAATGCAGGAATTAATTTTTCAAAGTCATATTTTTAGCATATTCATACATTTATAAATATCTGAGTTCCAAACTAAATATCTAATTTAGAAAACTAAATGTTTAACTTTCAAATTAAATATGTAGTTAGCGACTTAGATGTTAGAAATATAAATATTCAGTTTGCTTGCTAAATAATTAATTTGGGAAATAAATATCTAGTTTGAAAATGAAATATTTAGTTTGAAAATTGAATGGAGAGTAACTAAACATTTAGTTCAGAACTAAATATTTAGCTTGCAAAGTAAACACTTAATTTGGAACTAAATATTTAGTTTGCTTGGTAAATAGTTTGGAAAATCAATGTTTAGTTTGAAAATTAAATAGTTAGTTTGGAGAAATATGTATTCAGTCTGGAACATAATACAATTTTAATTTGGAGCTAAATATGTATCTTCTTTGCAAAGTAATTAATTTGGAAAGTAAATAAGCTCAATATTTAGCTCTGACTTCACCATTTAATTATAAATTAAATATTTAGTTTAAAATTAAATGTTCCTTATTAAATATTTAATTTGAAAGCTAAATATTTAGGTTGTAAACAAAATATCTAGTTTAGAACTCTGACATTAATACCCAGTTTTAATGCACTGTTTTTTTATTTTTTGTAAATTTTTACTGTATAACTTTACAAAGGGCACCCATTAGTTTCTTCATATAAAATCAGGTCCATTAGTTTCTTAATATAAAATCAGGTCCATTAGTTTCTTCATATAAAATCAGGTCCATTAGTTTCTTCATATAAAATCAGGTCCATTAGTTTCTTAATATAAAATCAGGTCCATTAGTTTCTTCATATAAAATCAGGTCCATTAGTTTACTGGGAGAGTTTCTGCAAACAGCTTTAGTTTTGGTTGTAGTACCTTGGTTTCCCCCTAGAGGGCAGCGGTGTCTCGTTGAGCTCTTGCTCCATCACTTCCCATGAAATCTGTTGTTGCTCCAAGACAGCGATCAGATTCCAGGGTCAAGTGACTCCGCTGTCCAGAGAGATAATTTCAGACAAATAAACAGATCGGAGTTCATGTTTATGAGCGACAGGAAGCAGGCAAACAGAAAAAAACCCCTCAAAAAACACAAAGAACTCAGTCTGGTGAAAGTTTCCTTTCCCTAGTTTGACACAAAGGAAAGTGGTCACAGATTACCGTCCCACTTGAGTGAACAAAGGGAAAAACTGAGAGCTTCAGTTGAACTTTCTGTCCTGAATTACTCGCCGGCTTTGCTCAGCTGAGCCTTCCTGTCAGTTGGCAGCGAGGATTATCACGAGGGAAAGGTTCAGCATGTGATTAAGTGGGGTCAGACGCTGGGCTTGTCCGGCAGAACCTGGAGACACGGAGGTTGGGATTTAGCGCCGGGGAGAAGACGGGTTATCAGGGGATTTTGGAGGAACACGGGGGGTTACGTGTCGGGTCTGTTATCTTTCCTGCGGACCTGCCAGAACCCCTCCACCCTCGCAGTCTTCACACCGACTTTGATGTTTGGCAAACAAGAGCCGGAGAGGCGCTTTCCCAAACACGCCTAAAGCTTCACCCTGGCCTGACCTCTTGACCCCATGAGCTCCTGCAAACAGAAAGAATTAGAAAGCGCTGTGTCTAATTCGCGGCCTTTGATCACGTGCAATAAGTTTGGACGACTTGGTCCAGATCCCAGATCAGGGTTCTGTTAGTTACTGTGTTTCCATTCTTTCATTTACGGTCAAAAAACTTTAATGTATTTTCCACTTTCTGTTAATACACTGCAAAAACACAAAATCGTACCAAGTGTTTCTTGGTTTCTACTACAAAAACCTTAGCACACATGAAATAACTTACAAATAACTTTTCAGGAAGACATGAGAAATTTTATGAATCAATTAATCCTTTATATTGATGGAACATCATTAATTTCAATGGCAGATTATTTCACTTATATAATATGCCAATGGAACTTGTCATCATTACTAATGAATTGACTTAAAACAACTTAATTGATCTTGTTACTCATGATTTAGTTGAGTAACAAGATCAATTACTCAAGATCAATTAATCAAGTACTAAGACATTTACAATAGAAACTAGACAAAAATATCTGGTATGATTTTGTAAAACCGCCTTTAGCTACTTAAAGTTACATTTTCTCCTGATGCTAATTCTAATCATCACTCAGACTGAATGCTGAGTCGCTGTGAACACATTTTTGACCATCCGAATACACTGCAAAAACACAACATCTATTATATTTTTGTCAAATGTCTTTATACCTTTGAAATAAGACAAAACTAAGTTAGAAGTGACTTTTCACCAACATATAGCAGCTGGTTGTAAGTCAATAATCCCTTAACATTGATGAAAAAATGCTAAGGATGAGGAAATAACCTGTCTCTGATGAAGAAAAACATCCCACAGCATGATGTAGTCACCTCCTTGTAACAGGTTGTTCCAGTTTTTAAAGAAAAATAATTATTCAGTACATGTAATGTCGGTATAAAATTATATTTATGCCTTTTTTTATGCCTCAGAAAACTAAGGGCACTTAGTTACAAATAACTAAGGGCACTTAGTTTTCTGCTTTTAATTTCTAAAAACTGTATTTTTGTGAATATTGTCTGTTGTCGTAGTTATAATACTGAACACTGGTGGTATTGATCTGAAATTACATTCAGATTAGTTATTTTTGAATCTTTATAAATTAAGAAAAAAAATTAAATAGGTAGATTTCAAACTTTTTAAAGCATTTTGAATGTAAATTAAATTTTGAAATGTGTCAACTGGATTAATTACTAACACTTATCTGCCTTAAAACTAATAAATCTAATTAAAGACTTGTTTGTTGAGCCTTATCTACCAATTAGGCACCTGCAGTGTTTTCTAACTTGCTTTGGAGAGTCTGGGAGGCTGAAGGAAGATAATCTCCTTTAAATTTTTATTGCATTGTTTGTGGAGAAGCCAAGTGGAGTGGATGAAAAGCGGCCTGTGGCTGACGGCTTTAACGGTAATGATCCTCCAGTTGCTACAGTAGCTGAGTCTGCAGGTACTAATGAACTCTTAATCGTGCTGAATCTAACGACCTCTGAATGATTCCACTAACAGTTTTATGGCTCTGTGGGCAAAGCCCTAATTGAGGACTTGTGGAAAGGAGCTGCAGTTCACAGCTTTCTACGGGTTTAACAACCTGCGGAAGCTAAATCACTGCAACGCAGAGCAGGAATCCACATTACAGACATTTACACTTCACTGACAATGTCTTTAGTTACAATATTCTTTAATTATTTTACCCAAAACATGTTTAATTGTGAATTTATGAGGATTTTTTTGTGATAGATAAAATAAACATTGAATTAATTTTGTTGGTATTGTCTCAAATTGCTTAAAAACATAATAATCTGTTGACTTTGACAATAAAAACTGCATTTAAAAATGATCTTTCTCATTATTTTGGCTTTTAGCAAATAAAAATATTTGTGGTGATCCTAAATTATTCTGATTTTACATCAGATGGTGTGAAAAATAAAATGCATATGTGCCTTTTTATATAGTCAAAGCACACTTCTAGTCTCAACTGTACATGCAAAGCTGTGATACCGTCTTCATTTAGGTGGAAATTAATACAAATATATACATTTTTAGCTAAAAAGCAATTGGACATTTGAATGTTAATTTGTTTGCATTTACCAGTTTTCTTTTTGTCTTATAAATATTGACTTGCAGAAGTATTCACACCCCTGAAACTTTTCCATATTTTGTCACATTTCAACCACAAAGCAGTTATTTTTGCACTGAGAGTCAATGAAACACTGGTAGGTAATCAGGAAACCTCTGAGGGAAATTGGTTCCAAAAAGGAGGCTGAAAACGTTTGCGCTCCGCACTATTCAGTTCTTAATTTTTAAAAATGTTTTGAATGATATATATTTTCTTGCTTCTTCACAATTGTGTACAACTTTGTGTTGGTCTTTCACATTAAATTACAATGATAAAATATAGAAAATGTAAACAGGTTACATTGAAAGCAAACATGATTCAACTTTGATTAAAATGTCTATATTTTCAGCAAAAAAAAAAGTGTATATTTGTATTAATTTCCTCCAAAATGACTGAAGTATACAAGCTTTTGGTGCAAGACTCATATAAAGAGAACTGATTACTCATGTGGCTTTACAAACTTTGAATCTACCAGATTAAAACTCCTGAAATCCTTTAATTAATTGACTTCTTTCCCGCTGTGGGGAGGCCGTTCTGCAGGAGGATTAACTGTAGGAGGAGGAAGTTTCCCTCAGGCAGCAGCCGAGGTGTGACGGAGGGGATTCCAGAGCGCGGAGACAAAAGGCAGACGCTTTGATTCGAACAGTGGTGTTAGTCAGAAACACACACACACACACACACACACACACACACACACACACACACACACACACACACACACACACACACACACTGAGAAACCCTGGTTCCTGATCCTCTGCAGCCCTGCCCTCAGGTCTCAACCAGCCGAAAGTTTGGGGAAACTCCAGATGCAAAGA